TGTGTGTGTGTGTGTGTGTGTGTATATATATAATTATTTATATATTATATTCGTGTGGTATAATTATTAATAATATTCGCTCAATATCAGAAATGGAGTTAATATTTGAGTTGGATTGATGTTGAGTTTGTGACCTGGGCTTCCACGCTTTTGCGATCGTCAGACAAACTTTTGTCTGACGATCGCTAAAGCGTAAAACCAAGGTCACAAAATCACATCAATCCAACTAAATATATATATATATATATATATATATATATATATATATATATATATATATATATATATATATATATATATAGCCAGTTTACCCTCGATCCGCGTAAGTGAAACCTAGGTAGGTTTGTCTGGCTCTTTACGTTTACTTAGTTTGATCTACTTAGCGTATTGAGCAATTTGCTTAGTTATTTTTCCTTTTACTCGTGTCGGGGGTTTTTCTTTGGACTCTGAACTTAGATTCTAGACGATTATTTTCGCCTCAATTTCATGTTTTTAGTTCTTTCTTTACTCTTTTTCCTTGGGTGTTTGTTTGTTCATTCACAATCTAAAACGCCTAAGCTTTTGCCGGACGAGTATAGCTGCTTACATTTTTAAGTTTATTAGTGTTATATTTATATATATATATATATATATATATATATATATATATATATATATATATATATATATATACAGTAGCGTTATAATTGTAGAATTGTTATAATTCTTTTTCTATCCTTTGCAAATGATTCAAATTTTAGTATGTTATTATGGATGATAACGACTACCAGTTGTCAAAATTTCAGCTTTTCACAGTTGTTATTTCTAACAAATATTAGGTTTTAAAATTTTGTCCCTTAGTTTTGGACGCTACTGTATATATACCTATGTTCCTTTATTATTAATGTATTTTATTCTTATGCTTGTATAATTGTAATGTGAATTTAAATAATCTTCTGTTTAGTTTCAGTAAAATAATTACTTCTAATTTCTCTTTTTGTAATAATGTAGGACATAATTCTACTGTAAACGATAATTCAATTATTGATTAATTGATTGAACTTATTATTCATTATTTATTGATTGATTGATTGCTATTATTTCATAATGCAAATCAAAGTTATATGGTCGAGAGAGCTCGAATTGTTAGAAACGGTAGAAACATGATAGAAAATAAAATAGAAAACAGAAACTTGATAGAAATGATAGAAACTTGATAGAAATTTGATAGAAATGATAGAAACTTGATAGAAAATAAAATAAAATAGAAAATAAAAACTTGATAAAAATTATAGAAAATTTATAGAAATGATAGAAAATTGATAGAAAATAAACTAAAATAGAAAATAAAAACTTGATAAAAATTATAGAAAATTGATAGAAATGATAGAAACTTGACAGAAAATAAAATAAAACAGAAAATAGAAACTTGATAGAAATTATAGTAACTTTATAGAAATGATAGAAAATTGATGGAAAATAAAATAAAATAGATAATAGAAACTTGATAGAAATGATAGAAACTTGATAGAAATTTGATAGAAATGATAGAAACTTGATAGAAATGATAGAAACTTGATAGAAAATAAAATAGAAAATAAAAACTTGATAGAAATTATAAAAGATTGATAGAAATGATAGAAACTTGATAGAAAATAAAATAAAATAGAAAATAGAAACTTGATAGAAAGGATAAAAACTTGATAGAAAATTGATAGAAATGATAGAAACTTGATAGAAAATAAAATAAAATAGAAAATAAAAACTTGATAGAAATTATAGAAACTTGATAGAAATGGTAGAAACGTCTTATCGATGAACACAGAAAGACTGAAACGAAAATATTAAGATTTAATTTTGTTAGTTTCGTGGTACCCCAACCAAATGAGAAAAAAATCTGTTAATAGTTTCCGATTACTATTTTTTTAGTGGCAGTGTATTTGACTCAGACCTTTTGAGACTGACCTTAAGGTCAGACGACAGACAAAACAGGGATGTCAATTTTGATTGGCTGACCCGAACGTGGAGATGTTAGAGAGATAGCGTTTTCAAGGAGTTAAGTTTTACACGTCATACACAATAGACGTTATTATTTCGTGCCCCGAGTAACTTGCTCCGCAGCGGAGTGGGTGGAGAGACCCCACTGGCTAGTTTTAAATGTAGACATCGACGCATTTAATAAAGTAGTAAGTCAAAATCCCTTTCGTTGAAGTTCTCATTTTATCTCGGAATACGCCAACTAGCGATCACCCGCCCGGGTGAAGAAGATAAAGAGACAAGATTGCAGCTTTATTATGGAATCGATGTATGAATTTCTGGGTATTATAAACTTAATGTCTCAGCAAACATTTTTTACGAGTGCTCATATTGCAATTTTTTGCTGTTATCATTTCGTATTTTTAGCAGAGCTCATATTTCAATTTTTGTTGTTATTATCGCTTTTCTCTGGCAGTCCTTATTACTGGTTTCCATATTGTATTCATTTCTATGTTTGGTCTGCTCAGGAGATTTTTGTGGCCTAGCATATGTGCTGATTCCTTAAGTTTACGAATTTTCCGATGGTGTTCTTTGTCTTTGATCTCAACCTGATCCCACAGAGAGCTGTGATGTCCCTTTTCCCTCCATTTCTATTTAAAAATCGTTGTATTTTGATAGTTTTTTGAAGATCGTCAAAGATACATTGCATTCTGCCTAGACTAGGGACTGTCATGTCAATAAGAAGGCATATGCTGATTTTTGTGGTCTCTAATCGCGATGTCTGGGCGATAAGCTTTGATTGTTCTGTCTGTGTATAGTTTAACGTCGCATAATATTGTTACAGATCCTATCTCTGTAATCGGATCTTGGTGAGACCAGTTTCTTGCAGTTTCCTTTTCGTAAACATTGCAGGTTTTCCAATGAAGATATTGGCTCAATCTGTTCATGCCGAGTTTTGTATTCAGTGGGGACCACGCAACCTAATACAAGACGGACAATTATTATTATTATTATTATTATTATCATTATTATTATTATTATTATTTAGTCTCTTGCTCTTTGTTTTTCCCTTATGTTTAATCGCAATGCCATAATTGCTTCTTTCTTTCTTTCTTTCTTACTTTCTATTACCATAATTCTTTCTGATTTTTTCTTTTTCTTGCTATTATTATTATTATTATTATTATTATTATTATTATTTTCTTCGATTTCTGGCGTTTACACATTTCTTTCCGGGTCCCGCCCAGGGACCTATGGTTAGAAATGCCATCATGACACTTTCCACTAACTAAAAAAAAAAAAATATTACATAGATAAAACCCTTCGTAAAGTGTGGGCTGTACTTGTGAAAACAATTTTTTGCATTTCTTTAAGGCATGGGCTTCCAGGAATCCCTTCCATTAGTCTACTGCAATCTTTTCCGACCAGTCCTAGGGCTCCAACTACAACAGAGATTGTTGATGTTCCCATGTGCCACATTTTTGAGATTTCTATTTCAAGGTCCTTGTATTTTGACAGCTTTTTGAATATCTTCAAAGATACATTGCACTCAGCAGGGACTGCCATATCAATAAGGAGGCACCTTCTTTTTTTGTGTTCTTTAATAACAATATCTGGGCGGTTGGCCTTGATTGTTCTGTCAGTGTGTATTGTGTAGTCCCATAGAATTGTAACAGGTCCTATCTCCGTAACCGGGTCTGGGTGGTGTTCATACCAGTTTCTTTCAGTTTCCTTCCCGTAGAAGTTGCAGATTTTCCAGTGCAGATATTGGCCCACTCTGTCATGCCGGGTTTTATATTCAGTGGGTGCCAATATCGTGCAACCTGATACAAGATGATCAATCGTTTCTGATATTTATCACAGAATCTGCATTTTGGGCTGACACAATATTTTTAGTATATGTGCTTGATAATTCCTAGTTAGCAAGCATTGGTCCTGCGCAGCAAGGATAAAACCTTCAGTTTCCGCTTTCAACCCTGCACTACGTAGCCACTGATGGGTACGGGTTTTGTCTACGTCAGCTTGTTTGGTACGGGCAGAGTATTGGCCATGAAGCGGTTTATCTTGCCATCGCTTCTGTATCTGGTCGGTTGCATTTGTCTTTGCTGTCTTTTTTAAAGTATTTTGCAGTTTCAGCCGGTGTATTGTGATTATTATTATTATTATTATTATTATTATCATTATTATTATTTCAACATTAATTTCTCATTCATAACTATTGTTTATCGAAAATATCCTGAACAGTCAGAGAGATGTCAAAGGCTTTTCTTCTTTTGCCAATATTAACGTAACTGTTTTGGGCAATAACTACTTTCTATTCTGTCATTTTGTATTACGAGTGAAACATATTTTCTGGTTGTCATAACTTTGCAGTCGCGAAAAAGTCTGGCTTTAAAACGAAAATGGACTCCGATGCACAAGGAAAAAGAAAAAGCAAAAGAAACAACTGATGAATTCGTTTGAAAGTTTAGATTTATGAAAATAAGCCACCCGCCCTACACACTCAGACACACGGGTGCACACAGCCACAAAAAAATATACACATACACACACACACACGCGCCTTGTGAAAGGGAATATAAAGACAAGCGATTTTATTTATGCGCATATAACTCGAGGAGAGGGAGAGAGACAACAGAGGAATAGAATGGCAGGATGAAAGAATGAATGATTGAATAAAGGAATGAATGATCGAATGAAGGAATGAATGAGAGAATAAGAATAACAGAATATCTTATAAAAGGAATTATACGAGAAATTTATGGCTTCTGTTCAGCAGTCGACCTACCCAATCTCCATATGTGCATATATTAATATACGCGTAGAGGGGATAGGACAAAGAAAAAAGGTATGTAGAATTTTTTTTTTAAAAAAAAGAGGGGTCTAAAAAACAACATCATGTCGTTCGAACGAAAACGGAATTCCGGGCTGAAATGAAAACAGGGGTTCATGGATATGCAGAAAATGGTTTGTTTATCTGTTTCCTTCTTCGCTCTTTGTCGTTGGATTTGCATTATGACAGGAGAAAAAAAATCATGCGAATGTTAACATATTTGCAAATTGCTAATGACCCGACCACGTTTGGGCCCAGCAATGGAAATAAATGAATACGTAAAGAAAATAATAGTTGTTTCTGCAACAAAAAAGTCAAGGAATAATAAATTGAGGCATAGATAGATAGATAGATAGATAGATAGATAGATAGATAGATAGATAGATAGATAGATAGATAGATAGATAGATAGATAGATAATGAAGAGACTGTGATAATAGAAGATAGATGATGATAGATGGATAGATAGATAATGAAGAGACTGTGATAGATAGATAGATAGATAGATAGATAGATAGATAGATAGATAGATAGATAATGAAGAGACTGTGATAGATAGATAGATAGATAGATAGATAGATAGATAGATAGATAGATAGATAGATAGATAGATAGATAGATAGATAATAGATATGAAGAGAGTAAATGAATTTTGAGTAAAAATGCCAATCAAATGATGACAATTTTGGCAATATAATTGATCATAATGCATTTTGTCTTTTCGTTTTAATTAGAGACACCCACGCACACACACACGCACACACACACACACAAACATATATATATATATATATATATATATATATATATATATATATATATATATATATATATATGAAGAATTAAAGGATTTAATTTTTTAATTCACGCATGTTCGAATCCTGCATATTTTCTTTAATATGGTTGAACGAGTGAACAGGCGGGTAGGCGTAATAAACACCGAAATAAATGGGGAGTCAAATACGGATATTCACTAAAAAATGATTTTAATAATAAAAACTTTTTTTGAAGTAATATATATTTATTAAAGACATTTTTATGTTTAACGTTCTTTTTTATAGATACAAGTATTTTAAGTAAATGCTCTGTTTATAATAAACAGTATTAAATAACATTTACCGGTCTGAATGTCCGAGAAATTTTCATAGAAAATATTCGTCCTTTGACAGGATTCGAACCTGCATCCTATACGGAACCGTCATTTACGCTGACGTACCTTGACTGCTCGGCCACAAAGGATAAGCAGTAAATTCGACCTTGCCAACCGAACGATCCTTTGTGGCCGAGCGGTCAAGTTATCTTGATGGTTCTTGAATGAACTTGGAGTCTGAATGTTGGTACCATTACTGAAGGTCGGAATGATCTTTTTTTTTTTTTTTCCTTTCACCAAGATCCTTTTTTCTATAAATTTCTGTCGCATTAGTTCTCATTTTTACTACAATCTTTCGTCTGTTCCTACAGATATCTTCAGGTATGGAATAGATGTTGTTCTTGTTTTTTCTCTTAGTAATAAGAGGACAACGAAAATATATGTATTGTTGTATCCGAAAATGCTATTGGAAATGAGTTATTGTTTTGGAGCGTGCAGTAGCAACGCTGAGTTTGATTTTTAATTTTTTTACAGTTGTGCCTTCATGTACAAATATGGTGATAAACGAATTTTTACTGGTAAATTTTCTGTCAAAGTGGCATGAACTATATTGTTCAATAATAACAGTAATGTCGCACTTACTATCCAAAAAGTCGCACTTGATTAAAGATTTTTTTGATAATGTGTATCATTCTACCCAAAATAATGAAGGTTATCAAACAATTAAAATACAAAACCTCCGAACCTGTTATGAATGAAAATTTATAGAAACAAGGATCTTTTCATTCATAACGGGTTCGGAGGTTTTTGTATATTATTTGAATTGTTTGCGACGATGGATTTCTCGCCAATTAAATCATTAACCTTTGCATTTGTTTTTGTGTGAATAATTCATGAATTTGTAAATTGATTGCACGTTTATCGAAATTAAATATTCAATATATTAATTCGCAAATCTATGCTTCATTTCTTTTTCTAGCATCCCTTGATGAGTTCTATGGTCCAATGAAAAGTAATACTGATAATGTATGCCTATGTTTTTTTTTGTTTTTTTTAAATCAATTCACCCCCAAGCAAGGCTATAATGCCACTAAGGCGCAAGAGGCTACTGGGAGTGAAAGAGAACGAAGACGACTTTAGAAGGACCCGAGAACCCAATCCTAAACAGGAAATAATGAGTAAACCGCTATCCACGTTAAAAAAAAAAACAAAAAAAAAACAGCGGGGATGTTATTATTAATGTAATGAGACACTAGGATTTCTTTGGTAACAAAGAAAAGAATACTGATCTGCTATGTGACATCTGTTCTTCTTTACGGCAGCGAATGTTGGACGATTTCCTCAAAATGTCTCAATATACAAATTTATTAAAAAATATTCCTCTTGTCCTGGAGTATTTTATCGATACAGAAATCAAAATGGAGATTTTGCACAAATTAATTATTTTTATAAGTATATATACCTGGCCACTCGTATTCATGTCTAACCGTCTACTAGAGCTAGCCAATCCCTATTGTAGACGCTTGCTCAGGCGCATTTGTGTTTATTCAACACCCACAGTGTCCACGTGGTTCATAGTGCAACTATGCTGAGCAGACCTTAGTTACAATTTCTAGGAGAGAGCCTGTTATCTAGCGTGATCAACAATTTGAACAAGGCCAGCACGCTCAAGCCCTCGGCCACGATGACTTGTGACTTCGTGCTAGTACAGCTATCGACGGCACCCAAGGGCTCCGTCTACCCAATTTCACTCACAAGGCTTGGATCAACCCGTGGTATGTTTTTCAGGTACTTTCGTAGAGTATCCCCGCGGTACTTTCATAGTCCGGTCCGATAACATCAGGAAGTCTCCTTCCTGGCAAATCGACCGTGATGAGATTCGAACCCTGGTCTCATGCGATCGTTCTAACCACTCGGCTATTTTAAAAGTATTTTTGAAGAAAATGTTAAACAGTTAAAAAGGAAACATATTCACAATCAGAAATAGATTGGTGAAATTTTTGGGACATTTAATAAAGAAAGAAGACTCGGTAAATTTAACACTCATAAGAATAGTAGCAAGTGAAAACAGCGAGTAAATTTACTAGTTTTTTTTTTTTGTGTATAGATGGTCGATGAGAGACAAAAAGGAATCGTAAAAGAGTTAAAAGTAATATGAAGCAAGAGGACTTTTTTGTGGTTTTTAGTTCCTTAGATGACTTTCAGGTCAATCAAAGAACTGTATTAATGTTAGTTAACGAGGAAGATTAAAACAAAGCTTTCATATTTCTAATTTAAAATAAAAATAGCGGTTTGGGTAGAAAAAAAAACCCTAGTCTGCAGTGAAGGACTAATTCCAGAAAAGAGATTAAACACGACCCTCAATAGTCATATTGAGAGCAAGAGATATAGGGGAAGACAGCGAGTCATCTACGTGATAGGCTTGGATGAATGGATGGTGGGACGGAGGACAGGGGACTTACAAAGGGAGAAAATCTACTAAGAGTGACAAGTGATAGAAATTTGCAGAGAACCATGACTGCCTATGTCCTGAAGGGGGACAGCACATAGTAAAGGAAGAAAGATCTAATTTACTCTATGAGTCCCCTACTAATTAATCCCCTGCAAATTAATCCCCTGTAAATTAATTCCCTTCTAAATAATCCCCTACTAATATTAGATTTCCCTACGATTAATATACGGCCAGGCGATTTCGACCGAGCAAAAACAGAAAGAAAAATGAAAGAAAAAAATAAAAGAACAGCGATATAAAAAAAAGAATGCATTAAATGAGAATGGACCAAAAGAAAGAAAGAATGGAAGAAAAGAAGGAAAAAGGCATCAAAAATGAAAAAAGAAAAAAAATGAATGGAAAGAAAAAAATGAATGAAAAAAAGGAAAGAAAATTAATGAGAAAAAGGAAAGAAAAAATCAATGAGAAAAAAGGAAAAGAAAAAAAATGAAAAAAAATGAAAAAAAAAAAAAAAGGAAAAGAAAAAATGAATGAGAAAAAGGAAAGAAAAAATGAAAAAAAAAAAAAAAGGAAAGAAAAATTTTGAGAAAAAAGGAAAAGAAAATCAATGAGAAAAAGGAAAGAAAAATTTAGAAAAGGAAAGAAAAAATAATGAGAAAAAAAAGGAAAAAAAACGAATGAGAAAAAAGGAAAGAAAAATGAATTAGAAAAAAGGAAAGAAAAATGAATGAGAAAAAAAGAAAGAAAATGAATGAGAAAAAAAAAAGAAAGAAAAATGAATGAGAAAAAAGGAAAGAAAATGATGAAAGGAGTAAAAAATGAATGAGAAAAAAAGGAAAGAAAAATGAATGAGAAAAAAGGAAAGAAAAATGAATTAGAAAAAAGGAAAGAAAAATCAATGAGAAAAAAAGGAAAGAAAAATGAATGAGGAAAAGGAAAGAAAAATGAATGAGAAAAAAAGGAAAGAAAAATGAATGAGAAAAAAAGGAAAGAAAAATGAATGAGAAAAAAGGAAAGAAAAATGAATGAGAAAAAAGGAAAGAAAAATGAATGAGAAAAAAGGAAAGAAAAATGAATGAGAAAAAAAGGAAAGAAAAATGAATGAGAAAAAAGGAAAGAAAAATGAATGAGAAAAAAGGAAAGAAAAATGAATTAGAAAAAAGGAAAGAAAAATGAATGAGAAAAAAAGGAAAGAAAAATGAATGAGAAAAAAGGAAAGAAAAATGAATTAGAAAAAAAGGAAAGAAAAATGAATGAGAAAAAAAGGAAAGAAAAATGAATTTAAAAGGAAAGAAAAATGAAAAAAAGAAAGAAAAAAAGGAAAAGGAAAATGAATTCAGAAAAAAGGAAAGAAAAATGAATGAGAAAAAAGGAAAGAAAAATGAAAAAGAGAAAAAAAGGAAAGAAAAATGAATGAGAAAAAAGGAAAGAAAAAAAGAATTAGAAAAAAGGAAAGAAAAATGAATGAGAAAAAAGAAAGAAAAAATGAATGAAAAGAAAAGGAAATGAAAAAAAAAAAAAAAAAAAGGAAAGAAAAATGAAATGAAAAAAAGGAAAGAAAAATGAATGAGAAAAAGGAAAAAAAAATGAATGAAAAAAAAAAAAAAATGAAAAGAAAAAAAGGAAAGAAAAATGAATGAGAAAAAAGGAAAGAAAAATGAATGAGAAAAAGGAAAGAAAAATGAATGAGAAAAAAAGGAAAGAAAAATGAATGAGAAAAAAAGGAAAGAAAAATGAATGAGAAAAAAGGAAAGAAAAATGAATTAGAAAAAAGGAAAGAAAAATGAATGAGAAAAAAGGAAAGAAAAATGAATTAGAAAAAAGGAAAGAAAAATGAATGAGAAAAAAGGAAAGAAAAATGAATGAGAAAAAAGGAAAGAAAAATGAATGAGAAAAAAGGAAAGAAAAATCAATGAGAAAAAAAGGAAAGAAAAATGAATGAGAAAAAAGGAAAGAAAAATGAATGAGAAAAAGGAAAGAAAAATGAATGAGAAAAAAAGAAAGAAAAATCAATGAGAAAAAAGGAAAGAAAAATCAATGAGAAAAAAGGAAAGAAAAAAAAAAAAAGGAAAATGAAAATGGAAAGAAAAAAAAGGAAAAAAGGAAAGAAAAAATGAATGAGAAAAAAAGGAAAGAAAAAATGAATGAGAAAAAGGAAAGAAAATAAAAA